TTTTCAATTTTTTGAACTCACTCAACATATGAGCCACAAAGGTAGGGAAAGGTTCCTCAGGAGTTTGAAAACGGTCCAAGATACCTCTCATGATCTGTTCCTGGTTATCAGACGGAAGAAACACAGTTTTGAACAACTCACAAAATCGTGCCCATGAAGCAATATGTGAACTGAGAACGGAAAACCACTTCTTTGGTTCCTTCCCCAAAAATCGAGGTAGGTTAAAGAGAATTTGTGCATCATTCAATTCAAGTGAAGTTTTGTACCCATTGACAGACTGTAACCAATCCTCAGGATGCACACGTCCATCACCAGTAAACACAGGTGGCTCCAGTTTTGACTGGTAGAGCACAGATGCCAGAATTCTACTGGTATTAGTCACATCAGAAGAATCCACTTGTGGAGAGAAAGTTACCTTCGTCGTGCAAGCATCAACAGTATTCATACCTTGATATGGCACACGGTCCGAAGGAATGTGCGGAGTGGAGCTTGCTACAGGAGTTAACTTCGCTCTTTGCCTCACCGTTGCATCAACACCCCTAGGTACCAGACATCTCACTACTTACTGCTGCAACTCAAGAGAATCATTTAGACATTTTTGCAACATCGACATTTCAGCTGTTAGGGCTTCAACTTGAGATTCCAAACTTTTTTGTTTCTGTGACCTCTGCTTCCGTCTACAAGTAGGTGCAGATAAGGGGTAAATCGAATCAGACTCGTAGTTAGGATGAGTAGCCATTGCTGTACGTACACAATCACTCAAATGATAAATGTAAATGTCAAACAATAGAAAATGTTGAATGTATAACAGAAGAAATCAATTTCAGGTAAATATACAATGTTCACTTCACTAAGGACAATTTAGAATGCAACAGGTCACACAAGTATGCTGGTCCAACGTCACAGTTGAACAAATGTGTAGATTATGTATAGAATATACACTACAAATGAATTAGAAACTGTAGCTAGTTCAATTTAAGGAAGTTCTTTTCAAGTTGGAGAAGAAAAAGAGCAAAACGGAATAAACCAGTGGGAGCTTCTCTGTACAGTATTGTTAAAGTATGCAAAGCACCAAAAACAGATAAAAAATCTTCATAAGCAACAAATGTTCACTGAAGAAAAAAGAAATTCCGCTTTCAGCTTCGCAAAAATATCCGCGGCAATATAAAATGAGCTGTTACTGTCAGTCCGTGGGTGAAAAAAAAAATTAAAATAAAAAATAAATAAATAAAATCAGGCAATAGACTCTTCACAAAGCATTAAAGTCTCCTTCAAAATGAAAAACCGAAGCGAAAACCGGTAATAATTCTAAATTAAAAGAGTCCGACAGAGTCCAAAGCACGAAGTAGAGTTATAATACTGATTCCACTACCACAGCGAACATGTCCAGATACGTGGAAGAGCCCATTAGCAAGCTAATCTTACCGTCCCAGACACCATGCGCCGCCGCATGAAACTTCCAGAAGATCCGGATAAAGTCAGTGAAAAGACAAAAATTGGAGCGTTCCCCTTAGATAAACCAAAAATCAGTTGTCGGTTGTCAAATAGAACATGGTGACAAAATCCGAGTCCAGAATTAGAAGTTCGGGCGCCAATTGTGATGTTTTGTGCCGGATAGCCGGAGAAAAAAAGGAGCTCAGACGCAGAAATGGCGTTTAGTACAAAACTTTTATCGGCTTTTCTTTACGTCACAAAACACAATACAAAAACACATCCAGAATCAAAAGAAAGTGCAAAAGCAGAAAACTCTTCGGGAGGAGAGCAGCACACGCACTCCTCGTCCCTCTTCGTCTTTCACACACACGCACCTGCAGCGCGCGCACTGGGGGAGGGGCAGCACACCTTAAAAGGGCAACGGACATACATGCATACATGCAGTGGTATATAATGTTGTAGTGGCCGTTACAACCTGTAGGCATCCCCTTGAAACTTACGGCACGTAACACGAGTTTCACTTTTGCGTTCGCGAGTGGCATATTTACGCGTGTGAGTTTTGACTCTAACGTGACGCCATATATATCCCACACAGTAGATGTGACAGCTCTGATGCACATGCATTGCTGAACAATTAGCCATCACGTGACCTCTAGGCAGTCAAGTTGGGTGGACTTATTTGATTGAGGGGTCAAGATATTACAGTTACAAGTAAAAAAATTTTCTTAGTAAAAATTTTTGGTCAATCTGCAGTATATTAAAGCAGATGAATGTTATCGGATGTGTTTTTGTCATTGTTCCTCATGAAATAAATAAATATATATTTATATATAATGTAATACTGTAATTATTATTGTAATGCTGCTGCGGCATTCTCAACATCCTACCTACTGCTGCATTTCAAATTGGTCCTTTGCTCTGCCACATATTTTACTACTTCATGTTGAATGCTGCATTATATGTTGTTTAATATCTTGAAGTAGTTAGTACTTCATACTTAGTATTATGACAGCATGATCCTGGAAAAAAACCCAATAGATATTGCAATATTTCTGAAGCAAAAAGGAGTCCAAAATAAATCAATTTCTCACAAACATGTCTATGAATGATTTAAACAGCAAGGATGAAACTGGATTATGATTAGCTCAGAGACAGCAAGCAGAGCTTACGCAAAAGTCGTGGAGGTAAACTCTAAAGTGATTGTAAACATATGCTACATGATTTTGCTAAGCCATTCATTCATATTCTATAATTTTAAAGTCTAAATACATGATAAAAAATGTTATGATTAAAAATGTTACCGAGGAATGTACTCTTATTAAATAACAGACAATTAGATTCCACTGAATGTGAACAACATTAAATCAGTGTTTACTGAAGAGTGAAGATAACACCACATGACTCTTTTTGCATATTTATCCAAGACACTGATGTCATACTGCTGTGGTGTCAATGAAGCACCACTAGATGTCACTGTAAAGCAAACAATTTTTTCCCTATGCAGTTTTCCTGTCAGTAATAAATATTGTTTCACACAGTGAACAATTCCATTCATTATAGTAAATCAGTTATATTAACTAAAAGTATTTTTTTGAATGATCAGACAAAAAATAACAATTGGTTATGAAAGTAGAAATGGGTAGAGATCCATGACATGCAATAAAAATGACAACATCCTTTTGACAACAATATGATAAGCAGTATAACTTTTGTAGCCTATACCAGGGAGTGCAGAAAATTAATGGACATGGCATGATACCACTTTTTTATGTCCAATAACGATACTGATATCGTAAATTTGGATATCTGCTGATTTGATACAGTCTTTTTTTAAACAGAAAACAAAAAATAATGCTTTTTAAAAAAAAAATGTCCGGAAACATTTTGTACATTTTGTATGATTGAAAAATCATAACTGTGATATAAGGAAGAAACATTGCACAGAGAATGTAATTTAGTAACACTGCTTCTTTTTATTTAAATGTCCTCAGTACTTACCTGGAACGGCTGCCTCGGAGATAAAATGTCGGTTTGGTAGCGCCTAAGGAGTCTCCAAATGCTTCATTAAGCGCTGAAACCCCACATTTTCAACAACAGAATGGGGTTGATCATCAAGCACAACAAACTCAATGATTTTCTCTGTTATCAGCTTTGCTTTGTTGCTTGTTTACAGTACACACAAAGAAGTGTGTCACAATGAGTGGCATCCCGAAATATACATAAAAATTTTAGGCTTATGAATATAATGTACAGTATAATAAAAAAAATCACATTTTCGAAATTACTGTATTGTTTTTGACTGTTACTCAGTCTTTTAATGTTAATTGTTTAGTTTTTTGGGGGGATGTTTTATGGTTCTTTTCCCATGTTTTGGCATCTTTGAAGCAACCAGCCCGCAAACAAGCGTATGCTCAGTTGTACTGTTTTATTTAATTTAGCATTATTTGTGTATAATTAAGATTATTTTAATTTAAGTCTATATTGTTGGTCACAGAAAAAACATTTAAAAATTCTGTGTTTCTGAGGTTTATTTACATTATTTTAAATGGGGAAAAATTGATTCAGGTCATGAACTTTTTGGGTCACGAACTGAGTCCTCAAATGAATTAAGTTTGTGAGCCAAGGTACCACTGTATGCATTTAAAGTGTGAAGTTGGACTTTGAAGACAAGCCCATGGTGGACCTCTTGGAAAAGATATATGATGCACCTGGACTGGGGTATGTAGGGGTGAGTCAACCAAGCCATGTGGAGAACAAAAGGCCATGTTTTGGAGGGTGGTGTTTGGCTCAGTGGGTTAGGATGCTGTTTCTCTGCTTAGAAGTTTGTTGCTTGAAATCCCAGATTTGGCAGAGTGATTTCAAGGTTGGGCCCCTGAGATGAGCGCTAATTGTCCAGCAGACTCCTAAATAATAAGGCAGCCCCCCCCTGACAAATGGTCATCTTGTCCGCCTACCCACGATCTCCCATGTTACAACCACACTTTTGGATTAGAGGGGGAGTCCTAGTTTCAATTTGTTAAACAATTATGCATTGTTATGGCATACTAAGTCATCTGATATTCATGATAATGATTGTGCATTATTTCTATATGTTTAAATGGTTAAAACTTACATTATATAATTTTATGTGTTCAAGGGCCCCTGTAAAGTGCTGGACCCCTTGAATCTGCCAGGGTATCCATGGCCCTACTGCCCCCTGGCTTTTTCTCACACTGACTGCCTCTAAAGTAGGGGTCCCAAAGTATATTTCCACCTGGGTTAAATTCCATCAGCAACACAAAGCCAAGGTCCATTGCCCCTGAAAAGGTGGTGCTGATGGAGTGCCACGTTAACACCCATCCCCCCAAAATCAGATCGGCCTCATGACAAATACAGAACATGATTTTCCCAAATACATGCATGTTATGAAGATATGATTTTAGTAGTTCCCAAAATTGCATGATGTTACGCACCCTCGGTGTAAGGTCTAGGGATGGGGGGGGGGATCAATAACATTTAAGTTTTGGACAGTGGAGGAGTAACCCAAACATATATTCCACACACAAACTCACACATACACCCGGGGAGTAAAAGAAAGGAAATTTATTTCACCGGAAATACACAACCGGTTGTCAAAGGAAAAACAAAGGGAACAATGCAGGTCATTAAACACAAAACTCGCAAAAAAAAAGGAGAGGGGAATTGGACTGTGGACGGCGCAAAAAGAAAGAACACAATAAAACCAAACAGCTTCCCTAACAAGGCTCGTCCAACTATTCTAACCTTACCTATGAAAACATAAAACAGAGGAGGTTGCGCCCGCCCCTTTACCTAGGGCGTCTCAACACAGGGTTGAACCTACTTTGTGCAATATATAGGTGCGCCCCTGCTTCCCTGTCCAGTCCTCCAAACCAAAACTCAACAAGCCATGACAAACGTGAATATAACAAATGGCATGCAGCAGAAAAATAGCCATAACTCCTCCCTAGGCTTCCCGGGCAAGATTTAAGACGGCAGCTCCTCCTCTCCAGCACGATGGTTGGCCGATGGAGATGCATAATGTGAACAGATTAGTGCGACGATTGGGTGACAGAAGCAGGCTGGATATGATTGTCTGCCAGAGTATTGAGCACTGTCCCTTTTAACAAAAACAACTGAAGTGTGCGTGCACAGCACATGCAGACACACACATAACCCACACACAAGGAGTGCAGCTACGGGCTCCGCACGTAACACATGAATATACATGAATCCTTATATTTTTATGTATGCTAGACAGCTGGTAGATGAAACCTCTGTGAGATGATCTTGCATTGCAATACACAAGACAACAATAACATGTCAACTGTCAACATACTGTTAAATTAAATTAACAAAATTTACATTGTGATATACATTATGCCTATCAATATTTATTTATTTTTTCCAAGATGATATGTCAATTATGCCACTAGGAAAGGTATATATTCTCTAGCGCACACACATGGTGTCTGTAGATACAACCTTTTTCACTCCTAGGTTAATAATTCACAGATGAAGTCACCATGACCTTCATTTGGCTCAGCCTCGCCTCCACTCTAGGTCCCAGATTACTTGTTTGAGATCTTGGTTCTAGTTGTTGGTGTTTCTTTATTCTGTGCAAAAAGAAGGTGCTGTGAAAAATTTCAACCAAGCATTTAAATTTTCATGTAAACCTTGGAACTAGGTACAGTTGTATGTGCTTTAAAGTGTATTATATAATCAGCCATTTGATGTGACTATCAAAAAAAGGGTTTTTAAAATTTCTAGATTATTTGTTTGAGGTCACAACTGAGTAATTTATTTATCTGAAGTACTTTCACAACACTTGAATTTGAACAAAATTTCATCTTTTATAACATTTATTCAGTACAGGGTGATGGTGCTATTTCATTAAATTTAACTTCACTAAATTGAACGGGTCTCTAAAAGACAAGCAGAAAGTTACATATTACCTTTCATCTTTAACTGTTTCCAGTTTGAGTTGTCTGGGCTGGTGTCTTTCAATAAGAGGAAATTTAGCTCTTACCATCGCAGAGGTAAAACCCACATTTGTGCTCCTGGATCAGTTTAAATTAAACAATTCTACAAGTTAAGTTCAAATCAAAATCTGCACTACAATCATAGTAATAAATTGTATTTGCTCAGTTATAATTTAAAATTACATCATTCATTGTACTGTTGTTGACAAAACCAAACCTAACAGTCCTATTATAAAAATGATTGTCAACCATAGTAATGTTTATAATGTGAAAAACATGCATGATTTTTTCATAAAATTTTTAAACATGATTAATGCTTCTTGAAAAATATTTATTGCCTTGTGTTGTTTTAGTTCATACACTTCTATCAGTCTGTGGTTCTATCAATGCTCTTTACATTAGGGGCTCTCATTGCAGCTGTGTGGCATACTACCCCTCTATAGCATGTTGTAGGGGACTGCTACCTATGGCCACCATATTAACAAAGCATCTGTCACTGTTCACATAAATGTTTCTTGAGGATGATGTGACAAGACATTATTTATTATCATCGTTTACACTGTATACAACATTGAGTCCAGCTCCATTGTTTCACACTGTCTTGTATATTTATACTGTTCGTAAGTTGTCCCATGGTTTTGGGGCAGTTTTGTGCCACTGTATATCTGTATATGGACAGTATGACAATAAAGAGCACTTGACTTACAGCCCATCTTGCAAATCCTCCTTCAGATCCTCAGGTATTCTTTCCATTGGAGGAGGTGCCATTGCAGGGAGTATATCTTCATTAAAGAGGTCAGACCTTAAATTACAAATCAGGTTAATTAATATATACCCATGTATCTTGAACCATCATTAAACATTTTTATTTTAAATCAAATAACATTAGCATTTTAAGATTAGGAAAATTAAAAGACCACAGCACAAATTTTTGTTTCACTCAGGTTTTCAATTTATGGGTGTGTGTCTGTGAATTTTATATATATATAATATATAAAATTATTTTTGCAAACTGCAGCCTGGTTCTTCCCTGCTTCTTGTTAATAAAGGGCTTCTTCCATGCTTTTTTGGGACTTCAGTTCTGCTTCTAGGAGCCTGATATGAATTGTCCTAGTAGGGCACTTCACACCTGCACCTAATGTTTCCCATTCCTTTGGAAGGTCAACTGATGTCATCCTCCGATTCATGAGAAACTGTTGGATAAGTTCATCTCTGGCATTAAAATGTCCCTTCTACCCTTTTTCCTGGCTGGTTTCTGTTTGTTCCCAGTGTCTCCTGCTTCACCTTATTCTTGTGTACTGCAGTCTTAGAAATTTCGAACCTGGGAGCAACCTGCTGCTTGGCATAGCCTTCTGTCAGCAGCACCACAATTAAACCAGCATTTAAAAATGCAGATTTGTTTAAAAATATAATGTGGTCTCAATTTTTTCCATGACTGTATATTCATGTTTCACTGGTTAAAATTGATACTGTTTACATTTTTTACAGATCCATCTTCCATACTGCTTATATTGGAGTCGAACCAAGGAAGCACTGGAGACAAGGCAGAGGAAATAAAGGACGCAATGCAATACCATTGTAAAACATTCACACTCATAATCCCAGATTAGAAATGCCAATTTGCTGAACTATGTGTTGTTGGACTGCGACAGGAGATTAAAGTGCAAACCCTTTCTGCCTCATCATGGGGAGCATAAGATGAGGACATGATGGGGTTAATTGTCTGCTTTACTTTGCAGAATCATGGCTACAAGGTGACACACCAGATGCTGCTATTGGACTGGAGGGCTTCCAGTTTGTGAGCACAGACCAGAATATAGTGGAAAGGTGAAAGGTGATGGGTTCGCTTTGTTATTAACTCTAGATGATGTAACCCAAATCGAATGACTTGGCAGAACAAAGCTACAGCCTGGGTATTGAACTGTTTGCTGTGAGTCTGAGGCTGTACAATCTATCAAGAATTCTGTCCAATTGTCACCATTGCTGTTTACATTCCACCATTGCTAGAGATGGTGTGACATCATACACTTGGTTTTAAGGGCATATACTCAATCAGTCCTGGAAAAAAGGTTCCTTCCCTTTTTAAACCCTCCAGCATAGGCCCACTGCCCATGAATGGAAGAAGGAGGATTCTCAATAACCCTAACACCACACATTATGAAGACCATTGAAAAGCTAGTTCTAACACCCCTCAGGTGAAGGGAAGGACTCTGTTAATCCTCTTCAATTTCTTTAGCAGGCCCATATGGGGATGGAAAATGGCATTCTGTTCCCACTCGACAGAACATACTCACAACTCATAGCCTGTGTCCTTGAAAAGACAGGACTGGTATAATTTGTCATCACCATGACTCTCACTAGGGGTCAAGGTGAAGCTCAGATGAGGCTTATTATTTAAGCAAGTAATTCAATAATTCTTCAATAAAAGCAAAAAGGCATAACGTTACATAATGCAGGACCAGTGTGAACCTACAGCAACAATTATATTACTAAAACATATTTATGGCTACATTCACAACATAACATCTACCTCATCCTCTAATAGGAAACTCTCTACTGAAACAAACCAATCTTTGTCTCCGTAATAACTTTCCTTTTGTTTATACCTTACTTAAACAAAGTGGTAAGATGTACAGCTAGCTCTTAATGACCTTAGGCTGGCACATTCCATAACATCCTTAGATTCAGTAGAAATACATCACTTACAGGCAGTCACAGTCTTCTGCCCTTTAAATGTCTTCTAAATCACTGCACTGTGCAGTTAGGGTGTCTGCCTATTCAGATGTGGTAAGAAAGCAGTGGGGACTCAAAGAGACTTTTAGTGTAGAACCAACAGTTCATACTACAGCTATACAGGTGCTAATTGAATCTTCATGTCTTTTTGTATATATTGTGGTAAATATTAGAGTGTTTGTGTAAATACATTTGTGGTCAAATGTTTTGGCACCCTAGCAGTTTTAACCGTATCTTCCCACTAATTTTTATAGTCATGCACAAAGAAAACCTTGCACTCTGAAATGGTAACTAATTATCTTAGATGGTCTACTACTTGAGTAATTTTTTATGATAACCAAATTGTGGAAATTATCTTAACCCTCTGGAGTCTGAGGCCTTTCAGCCACGTTTGAGGTAGTCTGACATGCCTTGACATGTTAAAATATTTCACCTGTCTAAAAAACATTTATCTTAAAGTGCTACAAATGCTTTTATTCAGCAACAAACACCGCACCAATAATCTACCATTTAGAATGCAATTATTCTGTGCTTTGTTCAAGTCGACTTTAAACATACACTTTTCAAAAACCTATTTTCAGAGGTGCTGAGAAATTGTAAAAACTATTTACAACTACACAATGAATATTGATGAAATAACCATCACCACACCTGTAATAGTTTTCATACTGTAAACAGTCCATTGGTTTGGAATGTCATTGTTACTGCCTCCCACACCAATCAGTTTGGAAAAGCAGTGTGAATTTTAAGAAAAGAGACTAATAGCCTTTTTATAGTTTATACAGTGGTACGCAAAAGTTTGGGCACCCCTCAATAAATAACATATTTTGGTCATTTTTTAATTGAAAAGATGTAAACACAGTCTCTGTAGGAAATGGAAAAAATGCACAATATTTTCACCAAACATTGATGCATAGTTACTTTTTATGTCATAAATTGAACAAAGATAAAAAATAAAAACATTATTGTGGCACTGCAAAAGTTTGGGCACACTAAGAGTTCCAAAGTCTCAGATTCTTTTTACAAGGTTCCAGACCTTAATCAGCTCATTAGATCTGATGCATGGGGACAGCTGTCATTAGTAAATGTCAGCTGGTGTCAATTTCAAAGCTTTACAAATACTCTGACTCTTCAAACCTTGTGCATACACTTGTGGACACTGAACAAAAATGGGTTCCTCTAAGCAGCTGTGTAAGACTCTGAAAATGAAATTTATTGATGTCCACAATGCAGAAGAAGGCTACAAGAAGATAGAAAAGTGTTGTCATCTTGCAGTTTCCACAGTGAGAAATGTAATTAAGAGATGGCAGTTCAGGGGAACTGTGGAGGTCAAGATGAGATCTGGAAGACCAAGACAATTCTCGAAGAGAACTGCCCGTATGCTGGTCAGTATTATCTATGGCCTTACCCCACTGGAAAAAGAAAACTACACGGGACTTGCATAGAGGGAGTATATTATTTCTTTTATACATGTTTTATGATAAACGCTATACATTAAAAATAACTATCATTTTTTATTTATATTTAGAGATTCAGCTATTCTGGGTTATTTTTTTTTCTACAAGAGACGGTGCGGATAGAAAACTCCATATAGTGAGTATATTATTTCTTTTATACATGTGATAAACACTATACATTAAAAATAACTTATTCTAATAATAGATATTCTCTGTTTTTTCCTACGAGAGACGGTACGGATCGGTCAAGAGAAAATCTACAAAAGACCTGAATCAGCAGGTATGGACGGAGCATCATCCCCTCTTATACCCGAAGCCTTATTAGATGAAATCGACAGCATCAACAACGCTAATAATGAAAATGATTCGGTTTACTTTGCTCAACACGACTCG